AACAAAACAAGGAATTAGAACAAAATCTAGAAAAATGGACTTTATCCATTTGCACCAACAACAAACACAATTACAATACTTTTGTCTGATATACCTCATTCGTCTGCCAATAATCGTAATCGATGCTCTATTCTCTTTGGTTTCTCCAACCAACACTGCCTAAAAAATGGATGGGATTTTAGATATGTACAAACAGGGAAAAAAAACTATCACAATAGAAACCCTACCATAGATACATTATCAAAATTATATATCCCCAGGAAAAAATAGGACAGGAAGAGCAATGCATTAGCATAAAAATAAATTAAAATAAAAAAGAGGGAAACAACCATTGCACTAATTCTTCAACTAGCTGGAGCACCAAAGCAATTTAGGACTGATTGCTTTAGCTAAATTGCATCATTATAATCTTAGAACACATTAAAAATCAATTTCTATACACATAATTCACCAAATCATTACATAAATATAACTCAGCATAAATCACAACATCAAACTCAAACAAGCTTCAATAAAAATACCAAAACAAGTGCTCGGAAAAAAAGACATCCAAATTTCAAACTACTACCTTAATTGCTTGAGGCAACTTCTCCAATCCTTTATTCCTCTCATCCATCAAGCAACAATCTGTTAACACTTTCCTCTCCTAAGAACTTTCATTTCTCCTCACCTACTTAAACTCTGGAACTTTCATAACAAAAACTTCTTTCATAATTTCCCTTATCCTTGTTAATCCCTATCTTTCCTTAATATTTTCCTCTTTGGCGATGAATCTATAGCCAAATTCTTAAACTTTACAAACCCCCCATAGTTAAACTCCTTCACCGACTTCTTCCTATACAAAACCAGTGATTCAAACTCTCCATTCTCCTCCTCATTGTTCTCTTCACCATCTTTTATTTTATCCAAAAGGGTATTCATTTATTCTTCGATTTAGTCCCCTGGAACTCTGGCAATGTTCTTAATCCTTCCTTGGCCAATTCAAGAGGCGACCCCTGAGACAGTTCTCAAGGGCAAAACAGTCATTTGCAGGGACACGGAGGGCAGCAAGATGAAAAATTCTAGTGAATTCTGTTCATCAATGGGGTTTTCTTCTCCTTCTGGTTGATGGGTAGTTTGATTGTGTCTGAAAAGGTGTTTTGGGTGGGATTTTGCCTTTGTGAAGATAAGGGCAATAAGAGAAAGTTTGGCTTTGGCTTTGAGACGGAGAAGCTTTGTTGTCACCATTTTTAGTGAAGCAAAGTGGAGGGGTTTTGCAACAGTAAAGAGCTATTTAGTGGATAAGGTGGTCAAAGAGCATGTAAAGCACAATTTAGGACCCCTTGGACACGAAACATCACATGAAGAAGACTCCTCCACAGTGATTTCTTATATCTGTAATCTCATTTGAATTAGGGTTCATGGCAATCAAGACACCAACAAAAACCTTACTCTCTCCTAGTAACTCTAGAACTCAATTTTGCATATGTAAAGTCTATATAATTTTACAATTCCAAAAATGCTCTTTTTTTTAAAAAATTTTAAAAGTTCTAAAAAAATTTACTCTTACAATTCTCATGCTTGTTCAATAATAATTTCAGTTGGTGAAAACTGAAAGTCATTCCTACCTAATATATAGCTGCTTTTCTATGTTAGTATTGTTAAAGACTTCCTTTTTTTACAAAGGAAGGTCAAGTCTGCAGAAAGAAGTCTGATATTTGAATTTAGATTTATTAAATTTTGGATTTTTTGTTCATATTTTTAAGCCACATAAAATTGCTTTGATTGTTGTAAAATTATTCATCAAATATTAATATCGAGTGATTAAGAAATTTGATTTTTTTTAAGCAAAACTTAGGTTTCAAGTTTTATAAATGAAAAAAAAAAAGATGTTTGAAGAACTTGTCCCTTTTAAGAAAATTAATTCGATTTGATTCGATTTTGAATTAATTAAAATTTAAAATGATTATCAAACACCGAAAATCTTAATTAAAAAAAAAACTGTCCATCAAACTAATGTTAGATTCAGAGTTCTTTCATATATCCAAATTTTGGTTTTTTTTTTTTCTAGCCATGCATCTATTAATACCAATTCCCATAAAGTCGATTGCCAAAATTAGATTGTCTATCCCCAACATATATCAGAGCAAGTTAGTCCAATCGGAGATACAAGTTATCTAAGAACTTTAAAAACTTGTTCGATAACTCTTTTATCAGAAAAGCAACTAAATGTCAACAGCTTTTGTAAACTAAGACAACAATGCATGCTAGAATCTGGTAAATAATGCTATCAAAGCGGTTCTCAATTTATAACATTGTGTAGATATTTGTACAACTGCCATTTTCTTATGACTGAAAAACATATTATCGAGAAAAATTGCTCTAACAATGCCTGATTTCTAGTAACTTTAGATTAAATCAAAAACCTCCCAGGATAGAAAAACCAAAAATGTACTGAAAAGAAAAAAGATTTCTGATCCTTCTGCTAGTCTTGCTTATGTATCAATATTGTTTGAGTAAGGCAAATGATCGATTTCGAGTTTTTGACTATGGTTCCTTTCCAGCAATCCTTCCACGATCAACTTCTTCTTATAAAGCTCTGTATCAATCTCAGGAAAATGGTGATCAACTGCAATATTTTTTGATGAAACAAGTTTAATAGTATTCCATTGATACGCGAAGAAGAGCCACGTTGAAGTACAAAAAATTGCACAAACCTTACCCCAGATGACCAGAACCAATAGGCTAAAAAGAAACAAACATATACCAACATTAAAAGCATTGCAGCCCTTTCCATTGCCATGATTTCCAACCTTTACTTGCATACTATTTTCCACACTTCTGGATAATGATGAACACCTTGATGACGATGATGATGATGATGATGAATTCGTGGTCCCGGAAGAAGTTGTACATAAACAAGATGAAAATGTAGAACTGGTTGTTGAGCGATTATCCTCAGTACAGGATGTATTATTATTCATTAATGAAATGGTTTTTAGTGACTTTGAACTGAAAATCTTCTTGGGTTCGGATTTATTACTTTTGTAAGTCCTGTGGAGCTTTTGTCCTAATTTTTGGTTTCTCATTTTCTTGATCTGCCAAATGGAAAATAATCAAATACAGTAGAAATCAATAATCAGTTTCATTTTCTTGTAGTTAATTGCAAAATTAATTAATAAAAACAATAAAAATCCAGTCTTGAAAATCGACCAACATTGACTTACAAAACAAATTATGCTAAAATAAAAATAAAAAAAAGAAAAGTAGAAATTTGAATATAATTTTGGAATCAGTGCTTCGCACATGGAGATTGAATGTTAAAGAACTGAAAGTTTCATTATCAAGAGTATAATTAAATCCATTTGGTCAAATTAAAAAAAAAAAAAAAACAGAACAAAATAATTACTAATAATTATAAAAGAAATAATCACAATAACAATAAAAGAAATGGAAAACAAATATTTATTACAATGAAAAAAAAAAAAAAAGGGAAAACTAACCAAGGAAGTGTCAAAGAGGACGGCTTTGATATAACGGGAGAAACTCCGACGATCATGTTTGCTTTTCCGACGAAAAGAACCGACAACATCTTTGTCTTTATCGTCCGAAAACATGTTAACCGCCGGCGAAACAACCAGTTTGACTCCCTCCGACAGCTTTCCTTCTCCAACCACCAAACCGTTTTCCTTAACAAATGGATTAAAGCACATGCAAAAACTACTACTTCTCTTCTTATTTACTTTTTTCATTTTCCTTTTTTACAACGTTGTTAAGTTCATGCAACGTTTTTGATCTCTTTTCTTAGAAGGGAGGAAAAATATATTTTTTTATAAGGTTTGTGGCGAAGATTTAGGGAAAAAGTGTTTGTTTGGACAGAGAGTTTCGGAGAACCTGAGAAAACGAGGGAAAAAAAGTTGATTTCTTGTCTTTTCTTTTTAAAGTGTTTAAGAGAAATTTTCCATTAATCACCATAAAAAATGACAATCGATTTAGTTGAAAAGCACGGCAAATGTCAAAATTATTCACATATATGTAGATCTATCAATTTAAAATACGATGATATGATGTAAAAATGATACAAATAAAAAATAAAAAATGATACGATTAAAAATTTTAAAAAAATTATAAATAAATTTAATAAAATCAAAAAAATTATATTTTATAATTTTATATCAATACAAATTATAACACGTAATTTTTATATAAAATATAATATAAATATAATATTTTATAAATACTATAACATATCATTTTTATATAAAATATTATATTAATATAATATTTTATATGATACGGTAATACAAATTTTCAGTTCTATCTATCACGTCTATATCCACGAAAGAGTGATGATTTTGCTTCTTGACATAAGCTCCCTTGCGTGGGAAAAGAAACTTGTCTTTTTTTTTAAAAATAAAACACGTGTTATTATTTTTAAAATATCTTAAACGTTAAATATTTAAATTTTAAATTTATTAGATAAATAATTAAAGTTCGCTTAAATATATGTGATTATTTTTTTTATTAGCATCAAGAAACTACCAAAGTATATAATAAAAAATTGTTATTGAACTTTTTATTGAATAAAAAACCTATGTTTTTCTTCTCTTTTTTTCATTCTTTTTTATCACCTTTTTTATTTATTATTTCAATTCGATTCCCTATCATAGTTGATTTGTATTTTCAAAAGTTTAACCTTGTAAGCAATAGTTTTGTCTGATAACGAGTATCAAAATTAACCCTTTCTTTCAGTTCTACTTACTTGTTTTGAAATTCAATGCTTGAAAATTGATTGTGAAAAACTATATTACAAATACACTCTATCCCATTTTATATTTCTAAATTCAACTTTTTTATCAATCAAACTCAATTTTGACCAATATTTTATAAAATTTTATATTAAATTAAAATTTGTTCTGAAAATTTTAAAACTTAAGCTTTATAAATCTTATTTTTAAAAAATTTAACTTTATGATTTATTAAAAACAACAGTCAATAAAAAACATATTTATTAGGTCTCCTTTTCTTGATATGTCAAAAAACTAGAGAAAAAAAATTCGAATTTACGACTATTACAATAATAACTGCCCTTCCAAGCAGCAATATAGATAGGTGTATAAAAAACAAACAAAAAAAATTAAAAATTAAATTATTTATGAAAAGACAAAAGAAAATGATTTTAAGGAAAAAGAGGAAAGGAGGGTAGCATGGGGTTATTGAGATAAAGAGATGACAATCTTTGAATGTGCTAAAGTTATGGAAGCCACTTCTACAAAAGGCACAAAGGACTGCCCAAAAAATTCCAAGTGAAATTCTATACTGCTGCCCTTTGATTTCAGCTATTAATCCTCTCAAAAAAGTATAAGTAACCCATGTCCTTGGGTGGATTGATAGAAGCCCCTACTTTATTGTCATTGAAAATGACCCATCTACCATCTTTGAGGATGTGAGCAACATAATGGCCACACTGAGTAGAGGTTCCAATGTGACTCACTATTCCAAAAAGCCGATATCCTGGCATTAAGCAAACATTACAACAGGTTTTGACAAAAATAAGAACTCCGAAAATCAGACAACCATCATGCACAACTACGAAGCATGTTAAGAATAACAGAGACTCGAGAGACTCACTCCCCACTCCGTCAGGCAGTCCTGCATCAACTGGAGTAGGTATGCTGTTGCTTGATGTAGTAGTATCCATATCTGGTGAAGCTGAGGGGTTGGGATTGTTAAATATCCAATCTGTTGCTTTTTCAATGTCGCCACCCTGTAAAAATGTACATGCCCCCACAATTATGAATTTCCAAAGCATAAGAAAACAGATTATGAAACCACAACTTCCAAATCCTCAAAAGAGATGAAATGTTGTGAAGACTTCACCGATGCCTTCAATGCCATTCGAGCAATTTCTTCTTGAAAACCAAATGAAATCAAAGTATCAACAGTTGATTGGTCAATAGATGCCTCAGGACCCTGTGCCCCATGGGATATAGGAGCATCTATATCTGAAAAGATATATCATACATTATTGTTCCGATTATGGTACTATATGCCATGTTACAGCTCTTAAAAGCACAGCCTTGCAGAAAGATTCAAGATTATACTTATAACTCTGAATACCTGGATCATCCATGTGTGAAAGCAACCAGTTCATTGCCTCTTCCACACCAGCATTTAAAGTGTTTATGGCAGCTTTCTGACAAGGAAGCTGGTTAAACCCCATTGAGACAAGCTGGGCAACAATTTCTTCGTTGGCCACAGGCTGACTTGATTCCGCCTCACTCCCAGGAGCTATGCAGTAGAAATAACAGGTGCCAAAAAAAAGGTTTTACAAATCAATAATTCTCCTATTTTACATATCAACTTCTCAATTAAGGTTATCACTATCATTAATGGAATCCGTTAATTCACATACCAGCCTCTGGCAACAGTTCCTCTCCAGGTTGAAGGCCTTTGCTGCGCATATGGCCTATATCTATGATGTCAGGGACATCTATGTAGACATCTGAATGCATAATATACATGACAAATATCAACTTGAAAGTAACAGGCAATGTGCAACATAAGTAACAAAGATGTGAAAGTACCAAGCTTTTTAGGCACCCAGCCTGCCTCCATGACAAACTTCCTCATGTGCAGTACCAAATAATCAGGGAATGAAGTTAAACCAGCAGTCCTGTAGTGTAAAATACAAAGGAGAAACAATAAGCCCCTGAACACTATAAGATATTAATAAAAGACTACTCAAGGACTGCTAGTCTGCAACCTTTGACTAAAACACCATCAGTTAACTATATTGTTATTTTTTTTTATTGGAAATTACATGCTTATCAGGGACCTTCTAAAATAATATACATTAACTAAGGGCTAACCAACCCCATGAAAGAACAGAACTCTTACTTGATAGCTGTCGTCTTAGCCTTCAATGCAGAGCTATAAAATTCATGTATCTCCTCTGGAGCTGCAAAGTTTGCTAAGCATGCTTCTAGAGGTACCCTTGGACGAACTATTTCATCACTGGATCTGTAAAACAAGGCATCCTAAGAAAAAGGTCTACAGAAGGCTAAAAGTATCATACAAGACTATTGGAACTTACACATCCTTCCCTTCTGAAATCTTTTCAGCTTTGGTTTTGTGAAAAGATTCCAGCTCTCCTGAACTCCCAGAGAATAAATCATTAGAACGTTAACGATTTGAATACATGAATATAGATATAAATGAAATGCGCACACAAACATAAAAATATACATATATAAAATCAAAACTTACCTTTATTAGTAGCTTCATGCAGTGGAATATTCAAAGAAAGAATGTAGTCAAGCCTTTTATTATATGCAACCTTCCCAGATGAACACATGATGCGCTCTTCAACACCAAACTTGAAACTCCTTGAGGGATCCAGTTCAGATTTCATAGCATTAGAACATTCAACTTGGTCAAGAAAATGAAGGAAGAACTCCAAGGCATCCTACAGAATAATTCAAGTGTCCATATGAGACTGATGGCTACATATAGAGAACATCGTGCCCCCCAAGACACATCCAATGCTGTGCAATGAGAGAACTAACACACAGAAGCCCAGATTGCAATGATGTATATGGTAATATTGCTATATCTAAAATTAGAACTTTAAGTCGTATTCTCTATGGAATCTAAAAGAACCATTTTCACGTGTACTGGAAAGGTGGAAAATTCAAGTTAATGCTAAAAAGCAAATGATAATTTCATAGTAGAATCAGTAAAATCGGCAGACCTGTTGTCTCATGGTAGAAAACTCCGGATGGCTGGCTGCAATAACTGCTTTGAACATGCGAGGAGGGATCCCTTCCTGTTTCTAATATTTGAATGTTGCAAATGAAAAGAGAAAAGAGAAGTTAACAGGCAACTGTCAGGATCATTCAAACATAGCATGTCTAAATGACAAACAAAACATAGCATGTCTAAATGACAAACACTTTTGATAATTTAATACAAACACTTGTGATAAGCATATCTAAGTTGCATGGCACAAATTTTATTCCTAAACCTATGCCTAATCAGAAACTTCCAGGCCGCAAATATAATTATACCACAATATAACTGGCAATTCAGTGACAACATCTAAGAATCTCCAAGATCAGAACAAACTCAGCACAGATATACAGTGGGAAGCTTACAGCATCTGTTATTGGAGGTACAGCAGTTCCACCTTTCTGGATGACCAGAAAATTAATCAATTAATTCATTAATCAGGAAAAAACCAACTGTACTAAGGCAAATAGATTGATATAGTCGCTGTACCTCTGATGCCGGAAAAGAATATTTACCAGAGAGCAAACCATGTGCCAGTTTTGTTCTGCCACACAACCAGAAAGTGGTTACAAACTCATTGGATCAGAAGTAAGAGGCAAAGAATATGAAACAGCTTATTAAATACACAGCAGAATAAAACAGGCAATGAAATACCAAATCAATGAACTCAACAGCCACACATCAAAATAAGAAAATGATTTGTGCATTATATTAAAAGATACATAAAGGACCACCAAGAAATCTTTGTCAAGATATAGAGCAATAAAACCACATCATAACTACCAACATTAAGGAAACCATTTTAACACATTACATATTGAAATTGAGGAATTAATAACCATAATAATGGTAACTTACAACTGCATATTCAGGTCTACGGTTGGATCAGCTGGGGCTGTCTCAAAAGCCATTTTTAAGCTTTGGTTCATATAATATCTGATTGCATAATCAAAGCAGATAAGAATCGTAAATTCCTAATTTAGGTGAATTTACAATATTAGCTAAACATATGTACATTATAGCTTACCGTCTACAAAATGAATGTGTTGAAAACACCACTTGCATGGTTGCTGCCATGTAGCAGCTGCATAAGAGCAAATTTAGGTAACCAGAAACATCAAAACACTATGTTGTTATTGGTATCACTACATCACAATCAACATTACCTGTTTCCAAGATTCACTAGACCTGTATAACCTGGTCCAAAAATTGCTTCTACATCCTGCCCACTTTCTTGAATTCTATTCCAATCAAAGTTGGTATTCTGGTCAAGCTCCCTTTCAGCAGTTGTCATTTCGGTCTGGAAACAACAAATTGATTTTAATTTCTACTCAGACACTAAACCATTTATAAACACTTCAATCCTCTTCTTATCTTTTCTTCTGGTAAGCTTTGAAACTTACATTCTACGGTAACCATATCACTCCCTTACCACTCAAGCTAATGTCCATCAAGATTTATACAGAATATAGTTGTAGTCAAAAGTTAAGGACCTTAAGGATAGCACAGTTCATTTTTAGCAGAAGTTATTCAAAATGCAATAATTACAAGAAAAAGTTTAGATATATCATATCACAAAAGGGATTCTATGACAAGGGAATTTGCATCAAACTTAAGGAGTCCAAACCACTGCCCAAATGTAAGAGCAAAATGAAATTGGTAGGGATAATAAATACAAATGTAAAATAGAAATTAATTGCATAATAAAATTGCAAATGCAACTACACTATCATGACGTACATGCATCTTAAAGAATTAAACAAGCAGTAGGCTAGTTAGTAAATTATTAATCAACAGAAAAGCTAACCTTCTGCAATGATGAGAAATCAATACCAAAATATGCCATATGTTGTGCTAGAAGTGGGTCTATAACACTATCATCCTCAGGGTAAGAGAAAACATCTGAGCTGCCACAATAAGTCACCCATGGTAAGTTCTGACAAATGTCGCCACCAATGCTCAAAAGAAAGATAATCATCAGAGTGCATTTGAGTGCCAAAAACATTTAATATCCGAACTTAAACTAAACCAAATAAGAAAAAACTGATCCAAACCGAACCAAACATTACGGTTTCAAATCAGTTTTCGGTTTTCTCGGTTTTTTTTCTCTTACCCCTATGCAGGGTTGAAATCTCATGCGTAACTGAGAGCAGAAAGAGTTCATACCAATTGTGGATCAATGAGAACTTACTAAAATGACACCAGAAACAAACACACATTGACAGTGAAAAACAAGGAAGCATTACCTGCAGATTCCAGATCAGCAGTAATGGTCCCAAGCTTTACTGCGAGAGGATAGCCAGTCTCCTTGTAGTGATCAATGGCATGGTTGTTACCACCAGTTCCATCCCAATTTCTCCTCCCACAGAGGATCATTCCATCAGTAAGATTTAACCATAGATTTTCTGTTTTATCGCACTTAGCACATTTCCAACCAGATGGAGGAACAACAACACTACCAGTTTGCCGTAAATCCATTGCATATGCACTTATTTGCTTCTTATCAGCAGTCCAGGCTGCAACTTGCTCTTTCCGTTCAGCACCCTCAGCCATTAAAATAGCATCAACTGTCAACCTTACCTACAGTATTTGCACAGAATAAGCAAGCCTGGTTCTTGTCCAAAATGAAGAATTTGTTCTTTTAAATTAAAATTCTTTAAAAAATAAAAAATTAAACAATCCATACCTTCTCTGGCAACTCCACAGATGGAAAAGTTAGAGCAACAAAATTAGGCAAAATGACTATACTGTGAGTTTCTTCATATTCTGGTTCATTGTTGTCAAATCCACCGTCAACACCTATAAATCAAATTGCAAAGATTAATCTGTTTCACCACAACAGATAGTAGTAAAGAAATACAATCATTTAGAAAACTTTTGAACTTGTCAAAAATTTGACTTTTATCAATTTGGAGTCCTTGCAAAGGTTCGAGATGCAGAGTCCTAGAGGAATAAGACATGCAATAGCTCTAAACATGTTAGTACACTTATAAATTAGTTCAACTTTTGTCATTAACAGTTGCAAGCACCATTTATACTTTAACTCATCATCACAGAAATAAAACATACTGGCCTGACAAGTGCATTGCCAAATGGTCTCAAGTCTCAACCTATGTTGTTCAACTCAAAGGTGTCAGACAAGAATGTGTTTGATATAGGTATTTTCAACCCTTTCCCTTATATTTGGAGCCACAGGACATTATACAAATGTCTATAATTTAAGGCCTTAGATATGTATCCAAATGACTACTTTAGGCACTACTCTCAGTTCCTTAGAATTGACTTCTTCAACGAGAAAAAAAAAAAAAAAAAAAACCTGCCAGCAAGAACAAGAACAGGATAACATAACGTTCAAGAGTAGCAAATAATAACAATGCAGAAACAAATTAATCATAACCATAACAATATTGTAAAAGTACCAATGGCCAAAAGTGTGGGTTTCTTCGAAGGCCTATCTTCAGCAACCAACTTTTTCGTTTGCTTAATATGCAGATACACAGGATTTCCAGTTTTCTCATAATTCCAAACCACATAATCTTTCCCAAATGCTAGAAACGTACTCATATCAATAAACAATCCTCCTTCCGACCTCTGCAAAAGTTCAACCATATTTGAGAGTTCTTACTAAATTTAAACAAACAAAATCTTAAAAAGCTTAATAAAAGAAAGGAAAAACTTTAGCAAAAGTTTGAGCTTTTACTAAACTTTCTCAGAAGCCAAACTACTGAAAAATGTGATTAAAATAAACTAGTGGAATAAACTTTCTCGAAAGCCAAGCAATAGCTAAGCAAAATCGAAACATCAAAAATCAAAACACATAGCCTATCGACATAATTTTTTTTGGGATAAAAAAAAACATAATATTTTTAGTTAAAACTAGTCACTAGCAATCCAGCAGTTTCTCGAGAAACAAAAAAGGATAATTTTTAATAAGAAATTAAACAAAAAAGGTACCGGAGAATCAAAGGAGATGCAGCATTCTTGCTTGTAGATACGATTGGTGGGTTCGGGGATCCGAACCCGAGAGAGATTGGATCGGAGCAGTTCCATAGGGTTTATCTCCTCCATTTTTGTTGGTTTTTTAGAGTGAAAGAGAAGAAAAGAATAAGATATTTGCCCTAAAGATTAAGGAACTGCTAAGGCTTTTTTCTTTTTGGCCGTAAGATTGTTTTTTTTTTTTTTTTTTTTTTTTGGTATTGAGAAAGGGAGAGGAACAAAAGGACAGTCTGCTTTTGAAATTAGTGTTCTGCTAATTAATTTCAAACTTCGTTAGACTAGACAAAAAGAAAAGTTTTTCTTTTTTTTTTTTAATTTTTTAAAAATTTCTACATAAAAAAATATTTAAAAGTAGTTTGATTTACGAAATATTAAATTTCAAAATAAAGTGTGATCATTAAAAAAAAGTGATATTTAATTTTTTTTTATTTTTAGAATAATCCGTATTCAAATCATTTGTCTATTGAAAAAATCTATATATATTAATTTTTAAAAATTTATTATAATCTTCTTTACATATATAATGATAATTTTTATTTTATTTTATTAAAAATCAATATCCAAATGAGAAATAATACATTTAGTAACAAAAAAAAAAATAAATATATTAATTAATTGTTATTTGTATTTATAAAATATCATTAATTAAGGCATTTCAAAATATTAATGCCGATATTTTAATTTTTTATAAAAAAATTATTTAAGGTGTTTTTGAATAGAATCGTCTTAATTACAATAAAAAAATTATATTGACAAAAATTTATAATTGAATTTCAATCATTTTCAGATATGATTTTCAAAAAAAAAAATTATGTAATAATTTTTTATTTAGATTAAATTTAAAAATAAGGTAACTTTCTCTTCGAATCCTAAAATACTACAAGGGAGAGGTGAATTTATGATCCAAGACTTTGGTTATTGTTGAAAATTTGATATTTTTTTCGATAATCGAATTACCTTGAACCACATATGATAATCAAATATCCAGCATCAAGATTTCAGAGAAAATTTTGTAGATTTTCTCTAATCAAATGCATTGTTATAATAATATGATTTTTCTTGAAATTTTTTTTAAGGACTTTTAAATTAAATTAAAAATGCATAAATAAATATGTTACACTTTTGTTAAGAAATAACGGAGATAATTGAAGGTTAAATTAGTGAATATGTCATATTTGAAGGTTAAAAGTGTCGAAATAAAAATTTTGAGATGTTCTTCAATTTTAAAATTAATGAATGTTTCGAGATAAAATAAATAAATAAATAAATAAAAATGAGACAAAAACAAAAGAAAATAGAGAGAATGTAAAGAATTTTGATAATAATTAAATGTTTAATTATTCTTTTTTATATTTTATGGATGATAATATGGTTAATTAAATAGCTGATTATCTATCTTGAGGCCACGTGTGAGTGTTGATAATATGGCAACTAAAATGCTAATCACGTGACCACTACAATATAAATAAGATTATTTTAATGAGAAATTTTTTTTTTTTTAAAATATTTATCATTCATTCATGGAAAGAAAGGGGTAAATAATGCTTGGACAGTAAATATTCATCCTTCATTCGTGGAAAGAAAACCGAAATTCATCTATACGATGGGTAAATAAAGCTTGGACACTCACCTAACCAAATATGTATTTTAAGTTTAACTCTAGTTTAACGCGCGTAAATTACACTGACGTTACGAAATTTTTTTTAATTACTTCCAAAACATTTAGTTTTATATTAAATTAAATTAAATTTTATATTTTTAATTGAGAAAACCCACAAACGTTAGATTCTAAATCGAGCATTTAACCAAAAATTTTTAAAGTATTCAACTCCATTTTGTGCTACCATAAGATCATTGATTCCAAGCATTTTCTATCATTATTGCAACTACACAAAGAAAAAAAAATTCTAAGATTAATGTTGTGAAAAATATTTAGTGTAAACTCTAAATTTGTGTAATCATTGTCAAACTACTATGGTCATGCCTTGTTAAAATCAATTTAATTTGTCACATCCTCATTTAATAAGAAAACATTCATATGAAAAAAGTTAAATAAAATGAAAAAGTTAACATTAATTAATGTAATTGATAATCCAAAAAAGTTAGGAAATATGTGCAACATATTTATAGGAGTATAAACATAAAAAATGAGTGCTAAATGATAGCTTTTATAAAGAGTTAAAGATAGGAACCACAAAAATATATTAAATCATGATGTGTGAATTGTATGAAAAACAAAATAAAAGGCAAAAAAAAAAAATCAAACAAAAGTAAAATAGAATATATGAGAAGCTTTATGAAAAAAAATAATAATATGAGAAGATTAAAATTATTCAGTGAAAAAAAAATGAAAATTTAAAGTGATTTATTGTTCATTTAAAAAAGACAGTATCATATAGATAGCAAATGTTTTCTTTAACTTATAAAAAATATCAATTAGAATAAAAAAATATAGAAAAAAAATAAAAATAAAAAACTTATCTCTTTTGTCTATCATAACATGTTTGTATAGAAAAAAATTATAACTAAAAATATAGGTTTATGTAGATAATTACCTTAATGAACTTTCATAAAAAGAAATAAGATATGTACTTCATCTCATCACTCAAATCCTTAATATACTTTTTGTTTTAACCTAAATGACAATTAAATAAATAATATGAAAAAAAAAATAGAGAAATGAAAAATAAAAGCAAAAGAAAATTGAAAGTTCAACAATAAATAGTAGGTTTATGAAGGTATAAATATTATTATTAAGACTTTTAAATTTCAAAAAGAGAGAGTACATAATGATCTCTCTTACTTTATTATAAAATTTGATCATGTCATAAATGAAAGTCATAAACAATTTCTTGTAACCAATATGAAAACTTTTCATCAATATATTTATCTTATTTAATAAATGTATTTTTTTTTTACAAAAATATAAAAGATTATTATTGGGTATTGTTAGCATCCATAAAATCTTCTACTAGAGTTCGAGATTATCCATGAAATGTACTTAGGCAATAAAAGATGGTTTATTCTTCATAATCAAATACGAAATGATATCTAACTGTAATGAACTTATAAGATCTCAAATTTGAACATTTGTGGCTCGACTCACCTTTTGATGAACTGAAAATATAAAAAATAAAAATTCAAAAACAAAAGATAGAGTCACGAAAAGAGAAAATCTTTAACTCTAAAACCAAATAGTTAAAAAAACTCTATAAAGCCAAACTAACCTTGAAGAAAGAATGCTTGAAGAACTCATTTTTCAAAAACAATTTGGTTTTAGGTATTTTGTTTTCAACCGATTTGCTCATCATGTTTTTACTTGGTTTGAATATTTCATTATTTTATTTTCTCAACTGTTTTGGTTGCAATTTATGTTTTGTTTATTAAAATAAGACATTAATTGGATTGGATTTAACGGTAAACATAAACAAAAAGTAAACTTAACGGCGCGTATAAGTCAAAACTATAACTAAGTTCTTACTTGAATAGATTCCAAAACTTTCATTCCTAAATTGAACTATTCTTGTTGAGAAAACGTTACATAATAGGGAATTTAACCTAAAAACTACAAAAAAAAAAAAAAATCTCTTTTTTAAAGCAAAAACCAAAAGAAAAAAAAAAAAAAACCATCAAACAACTTTTGTCTATCTACCTCTCTCTCAGGTGCATGCGTGCTGCATGCGCCACTCTTTGGCCGCCAATCACCTTGGTCTCAACTGAACCAAATCATTCCTTGTCGTCCCTGGTGCTTCCACTGTTGTTGTTTTCAGCCATGTTGAGGTTAGTTTCCTTCTAGAACTTTATCTTTTCAACCATGTGCTGTTGATAATGTTAATTTTATTGTTTCTTTTTTATTATTCCTTTCTATTATCCTTTCAGTTTGTTAGATTAAGGCAACGTTAAATGGAAACATGTTTGACATTATGCAGATTTTTGGGCTACGGAAATGTTAGGAGGGTGGCCCGATCCCTTCATTCGAACTGGAAGCCTAGCTTCCAAGAAGCAAATAATATTGTGGTGCGTACAAAAGTTGAGTTCCCTTACTCCCTATATAAGTTATGCTCACAGTATAAACATTCATTAAGAGAAGATACTCCTTTTGCGTTTTACAAAATAAAGGAAGGATTATCAAAGAGTTATCCGCCTCGGAGCTTCCATACCCTTTCTTCTAGTTATGTATTTTCAGACAATGCACAAGTTACTTGGAAGAGGCTTTTTCAATTATTTTACTATGATGGTCCAGCTTTGACGCCAATAAGTAGAATTGCCTGTGCAGTGACTTTGGCTTTAAGTAGGTCGAACCTTGTAGTTTCTGCTTTTATGGCGTTCATGATTGGAGAGCTAGCCTGGACCCAACAGAAATGGGCAGAAGCAGGAGACTTCTCTGCAAAGGATACTCTTTATATGCAAGCACAAAATGGACGTATCTATTTAGCATCTTTTGTATTATTCCTTTGGGAGTTTATAATTTTGTTATTCAGAGCAATCTATTTAGCGATTTTGTTTTTACCCAGCATAGCAATGGCTCCCTTTGTGGATTCTTTAGGTGTTGAATTCAGAAAAATGTGGCTTCGTGTTGTCCATCGTACACTGGAAAAAGCAGGCCCAGCATTTATAAAATGGGGTCAATGGGTTGCGATTAGACCAGATCTGTTTCCTAGAGATCTTTGTGATGTACTTGTTCAACTTCAAGCTACAGCTCCATCACATAGTTTCTCTTTCACAAAGAAATCTATTGAAAAAGCATTTGGTCAAAAGTTGACTGAAATCTTTGCAAATTTTGAAGAGGAACCTTTGGCATCTGGAAGTATTGCTCAAGTTCATAGAGCAACTTTGAAATATAGGTACCCTGGTCAACAAACCAAGCCCATTGTAGTTGCTGTAAAGGTTCGGCATCCAGGGGTTAGTGAAGCAATTAGAAGAGACTTTATGATAATTAATTTTGTAGCTAAACTTTCAAAGTTCATCCCTACGTTGAAATGGTTGAGATTGGATGAAAGTCTACAACAATTTGCAGTTTACATGATGTCCCAAGTTGATCTTGCTAGGGAAGCTGCACATCTAAGCCGTTTTATCTACAACTTCCGTAGATGGAAGGATGTCTCATTTCCAGAGCCTTTATACCCCTTGGTACACCCTGCTGTTCTGGTAGAGACTTTTGAACATGGAGAAAGTGTTTTGCACTATGTTGATGAGCTTGAAGGACATGAGCAGACTAAAAACGCCCTTGCTCACATTGGGACGCATGCATTTTTAAAAATGCTTTTGGTATTGTTTCTCATACTCTCTTTTTCATTCTTTAAACTTCTTCATTTTTACATTTCTTCTTATTGTGGTGGTTGTAAATACTGAATTGCGTTGCATTGGATTGTTTGTATCGTTTCTTCTACCTTGTAGTCCCGTACTTGTTTAAGATTTTGTCTCTGAAAAGCTTATGCATAAGTCATGCTAAAATTTAAAGATTGGATTCAAACTTATGATGTTCTTTTTTCCTTCTCCAGGTAGATAATTTTATTCATGCAGACTTGCATCCTGGGAATATTCTTGTCCGTGTAAAAGATAGGCGATCATGTAAACATCTCTTTAGTTCAAGGCCTCATGTTATCTTTCTTGATGTAGGCATGACAGCTGAACTTTCGAAGATAGATCGAATGAATTTACTGGAGTTTTTTAAGGCTATTGCTCTTCGAGATGGTCGCAGTGCTGCTGAGTCCACACTTAGGTTATCTAAACAGCAACATTGTCCTAATCCAAAGGCTTTCATAGAGGTAATGCATTTGCTAGAAAGTTTTTTCTGTTGGGTGTAACGTACTGATTTTTTATACCGCCATGAAAGTTTATTGGACTGTCAATCGAAGAGTTTATTTATCCAAGAACATATTTCATGTTTTTTCATGTTTTGTTTTAAACATTCATCCATGTTTTTAAATTGAATTAGATTATCAGACAAAGTTAAAAACCTCATAGCCTCCCCGGCTATCTTTGCTATTTGCTCTTTCTGTGGACCTTGTAGACCAAAAATTTGACTTTGGAGCAAACATACCAAATAATGAGGTTCTTTCTTCTAATAATGAAGTACCTTTTAATGGACCATGCATTTTATCTCTATTCTTGATACTTATGACTTTGTTTAAGTTCCTTAGAGACTTACCATATGTAGTTGGACTGTAAGATGGAATTAGTCAAGGTGGTGTGCTTTAAGGATCTAAACTTAAACTCTAAGCCTTTGCTCTCCCTTGTACGCAAAAGATATGATCCAAGCTTAAGCTTTTTGTTTTGTTGACAGGACGTTGAACAATCTTTCAATTTCTGGGATTCCCCAGATGGTGAGTTTGTCTATCCAGGCGAGTGCATACAGCAACTACTTGAGCATGTTAGACGTCATAATGTCAACATTGATGGAAATGTTTGTACAGTAATTATTACCACCTTGGTTCTTGAGGTAATATGGTCTTTGCTTGCTACTTATCATAGTCTTCTCTCCTTGAGAAAGTTATTGAATTCCTTCTATTCAAGATGTTTAGTAATCAGCATGAAAACTATCGATAATCATGATGGCTGAGACTTTCTTGAATAGTAAAATTTATATTGAGGAGAAACAAGATGTTAAAGAAATGGAAAATATAGTTAGTGTAAAATGAATGTTTACCTGCATTGATTACTAAACATCTTGTTACATGTTGAACAATGTTACGTAGTTCCAAAAATCCTTGAGACATAAATTTTGGTTTTCTAAGCTTTTTGTTTCTTTTTTCCATCTTTGTAGGGATGGCAGCGGAAGCTTGACCCTCAATTGGATGTGATGCGCATGTTGCAGACAGTACTATTTAAAGTTGACAGGGCTAAGTCTCTACTTTACACCATTGAAGGACTTATGGCACCTTAAGAAGTCTATCCATCTCCTTTATTTTACTGAAAGTTTTGATAGCGATAATAGAAAAGGGATACATTGACATGTTACAATCATGAGGAATAACTATCTTCCTCCTCCATCCTTGATTTTAAACTTACTTGATTTTCGTCTACTATTATTTCAGTTTAGATTTTGCTAACGAATACTCTGAAGGTTAGCTAACATTCAATTTATAGGGAAACTAGTTCCCTATCATTTTCTCTTGTTAATTTGGTACTATAAAGTACTTCAAATGAGAAAATGAGAAATAAAATGTTCATGTTATTTTTTTTCCTAGAATCATTCTCTAATGTTGATGTTTTCTTCATTCCCACATTTAACACGGAAGAAAAGGTAATGTAAAGTTTATTTTATATTTTCTCAAAAAAATTTATTTTCTATATTTACAATAATTGTTTTGAAAGTGAAATTACAGGTAGAAATTAATACTTGCCTTAAGTCTGCTTGGCATGCATTTCAAAGATGTATATAATGTTAGCAGAAGTATATACTCGACCATTTGATTCAATGATCTATGTATAATTACCAACATTAAGGAAAATATTTTAACACATAACATATTGAAATTGAGGAATTAATAACCATAATAATGGTAACTTACAATTGCATATTAAGGTTTATGGTTGGATCAGTTGGGGTCATCTCAAAAGCCATTTTTAAGCTTTGGTTCATATAATATCTGATTGCATAATCAAAGCAGAAAATGGAAAGAAAAGCAAATAAGAACCATAAATTCCTAATTTAAGTGAATTTACAATATTAGCCAAACGTGTGTACATTATAACTTACCGTCTACAAAATAATGTGTTGAAAACACCACTTGCATGGTTGCTGCCATGGAGCTGCTGCATAAGAGCAAATTTAGGTAACCAGAAACATCAAAACACTATATTGTTGTTGGTATCCCTACATCGCGTTCAATATTACCTGTTTCCAAGATTCACTAGACCTGTATAACCCGGTCCAAAAAGTTGCTTCTACATCCTACCCATTTTCTTGAATTCTATTCCAATCAAAGTTGGTATTCTGGTCAAGCTCCCTTTTAGCAGATGTCATTTCAGTCTAGAAACAACGAATTGATTTTAATTTCTACTCAAACACTAAATCATTTATAAACACTTCAATCCTCTTCTTATCTTTTCTTCTGGTAAGCTTTGAAACTTACATTCTATGGTAACCATATCACTCTCTTACCACTCAAGCTAATGTCCATCAAGATTTATACAAAATATAGTCAAAAGTTAAGGACCTTAAGGATAACACAGTTCATTTTTAGCAAAAGTTATCATTAAAAATGCAATAATTACATGAAAAAGTTTAGATATATCAACACATCACAAAAGGGATTCTATGAAAAGGGAACGTGCATCAAACTTAATGAGTCTAAACCACCACCCGAATGTAAGTGTAAAATGAAATTGGTAGGGATAATAAATAAAAATGTAAAATAGAAATTAACTGCATAATAAAATTGTAAATGCAACTACATTATCATGACGTACAAGCATCTTAAAGAATTAAACAAGCAGTAAGCTAGTTAGTAAATTATTAATCAACGGAAAAAGCTAACCGTTTGCAATAATGAGAAATCAATACCAAAATATGCCAAATGTTGTGCTAGAAGTGGGTCTATAACACTATCATCCTTAGGGTAAGAGAAAACATCTGAGCAGCCACAATAAGTCACCCATGATAAGTTCTAACAAATGTCAATGTCAAAAGAAAAATAATCATCAAAGTGCATTTGAGTGCTAAAAACATTTAATACCCAAACTTAAACTGACGCGAATAAGGAAAAACTGATCCAAACCAAATCAAACACTATGATTTCAAATAGATTTTCAATTTTCTCTATTTTTTTCTCACCTCTATTTACAGTTGAAATCTCATGGGTAACTGAGAGTAGAAAGAGTTCATACCAATTGTGGATCAATAAGAACTTATTAAATTGACACCAGAAACAAACACACAGTGACAATGAAAAACAAGGAAGCATTACCTACAGATTCCAGATCAGCATTAATGGTTCTCAGCTTTACTGCTAGAGGATAGCTAGTCTCCTTGTAGTAATCAATGGCATGGTTGTTACCACTAATTCCATCCTAATTTCTCCTCCCACAGAGGATCATTCCATCAGTAAGATCTAACCATAGATTTTCTGTTTTATCACACTTAGCACATTGCCAACCAGATAAAAGAACAACAACATTACCAGTTTGTCTAAATCCATTGCATATGCACTTATTTGCTTCTCACCAACGGTCCAGCCTGCAACTTGCTCTTTTCGTTTAGCACCCAAAGCCATTATAATAGCATCAACTGCCAACCTTACCTATAATATTTGTACAGGGTAAACAAGCCTGGTTCTTGTCCACGATGAAGAATTTGTTCTTTTAAATTAAAATTCTTTAAAAAATAAAAAATTAAACAATCCATACCTTCTCTGGCATCTCACAGATGGAAAAGGTAGAGCGACAAAATTAGGTAAAATGACTATATTGTGAGTTTCTTCATATTCTGGTTCATTGTTGTCAAATACACCGTCAATACCTATAAATCAAATTGCATAGATTAATCTGCTTGACCACAACAGATATTACTAAAGAAATACAATCGTTTAGAAAACTTTTGAACTTTTCAAAACTTTGATTTTTATCAATTCGAAGTCCTTACATAGGATCGACATGCAAAGGCGTAGAGGAATAAGAAATGCAATAACTCTAAACATGTTAGTCCACTGATAAATTAGTTTGACTTTTTTCATTAACAGCTGCAAGCACCATTTATACTTTAACTCATCTTCACGGATATAAAACATACAGGCTTGAGAACTGCATTGCCAAATGGTCTCAACCTATGTTGCTCAACTTAAAAGTGTCAGACAAGAATGTGTTTGACATAGGTATTTTCACCCTTTTCCCTTATATTAGAAGCCACAGGACATTATACCAAATGTCTATAATTTGAGGCCTCAGATATGTAACCAAATGACTATTTTTGGGCTTAGGCACTATTCTCCGTTCCTTAAAAATTGACTACTTCACCATAAAAAAATAAAAAAAAAAAAAAAAAACTGCTAGTAAGAACAAGAACAGGGTAACATAATGTTCAAGAGCAGCAAATAATAACAATGCATAAACAAATTAATCATAACTATAACAATATTGTAAAAGTACCAATGGCTAAAAGTGTGGGTTTTTTTGATGGCCTATCTTCAGCAGCCAACTTTTTCGTTTGCTTAATATACAGATATATAAGATTTCCAGGCTTCTCATAATTCCAAACCACATAATCTTTCCCGAATGCTAGAAACTTACTCATATCAATAAACAATCCTCCTTTTGACCTTTGCAAAAATTCAGCCACATATGAGAACTCTAACTAAATTTAAACAAACAAACCTTAAAATAGCTTAATAAAAGAAAGGGAAAAACTTCAGTAAAAATTTGAGCTTTTACGAAACTTTCCATGTTGCCAAATTATTGAAAAATATGATTAGAAAAAAAAAAAAAACTAGTGAAATAAACTTTCTCGAAAGCCAAACAATAGATAAGCAAATCGAAACATCAAAAGTCAAAACACATAGCCTATCAACATAATATTTTTAGTTAAAACTAGTCACCAGCAATCTAGTAGTTTCTTGTTAAAAAAAAAAAAAAGAGGTAATTTTCAATAAAAAATAAAAAAAAAGTATCAGAGAATCAAAAGAGAGGCATCATTCTTGCTTGTAGATACGATTGGTGGGATTGGGGATCCGAACCAAAGAGAGATTGGATCAGAGCAACTCCATAGGGTTTATATCTTACATTTTTGTTTTATTTTTTAAAGAGAAAGAGAAAAAAGAATAAGATATTTACCTTAAAGCCTAAGCAATTGCGAAGGCTTTTTTTCACTAAAAGATTGGTTTTTTTTATTGAGAAAGAAAAGGGAACAAAGGAGCGTCTCTTTTTGAAATGAGTGTCGTGTTAATCAACTTCAAACCTCGTTCGATTAGATAAAATATAATTTAAAATATGATATAATGATGTTACAATGATATAAAAATAAAATATAAATATGAGACAGTTTAAATTATAACAATAATTATATATAAATTTAATAAAATAAAAAAATTATATTTTAGATTTTCGTGTCGAAACAAATTATTATATATAATTTTCGTTTAAATCATAGTAAAAATACCTAAAATTTAATATTTTAAATGATCTGAATACATAAATTATCAAATTTAAGAAATATATTTTTTTTTAATTTTTTAAAAATTAAAAATTTAAATCTCCATTGTAAAAATATTTATAGTAATATGATTTTTCTTGAGATTCTTTTTTTCTTTTAAGGACTTTAAATTAAATTAAAAGTATATAAATAAATTTGTTGATGTACTTTGTTTAGGTAAGAATGAAGGTAATTGAAGGCTTAATTAGTGAGTGTGTTCGATTTGAAGGTTAAAAGTGTCAAAAATTAAAATTTGAAATGTGCTTCATTTTGTAAATTAGTTAAGTGTGAGTGAATAAAAAAAAAAAAAAAAAAGAGTCAAAAACAAAAGAGAATAGAGAGAATGTAAAGAATTTTGAGAATAGTTGAATGTTTAATTTAATTCTCTTTTTATATTTGTAATTGAGAAAAACATTATAGAATCTAACTACATATAATTTTGTCTACAAATTTACTGTAGACACTTATTTAGCCAACACCTATCCATAAAACAACAGTAAAGAGATTTGATTAAATATTGTGGACAATAAAGAAATTTTATTAGCTCTCATTGAATAAAAAGAAAAAGAAAAGAGAGGAAGGTTTAAGAGAAAGGAAAAAAAAAGATATCAAATTACAAGAAAACCCTTCAGGCTTTTATAATCTTTTCTTATTCCCTTTTTCTCTCCCCAAAACCTTATTTCCTGCTCTCATTGTTACTCTATAGCAATCTCAATTCTTTTCTTTAACAATTTTCCTACTAAATCAACTCTTTTCCTTAAGCCGATGGTGGTAACTACCATTATTTTAAGTGGAGTCCACCTTCCGGAGGATCCCAAAACAGCATCGAGCATGAAAACCTCACTCACTTGGCCATCAATTAGCATAACAAGAAAAAGAATACAATAGTTGAATTTTAGGTGTCACTTTTTTTTAGAGTTTGCAAAAAGGCATCCATATTTTTTTCTTTGGTCTTTCTCAAAATGTGAAAGTTTTTCGTTTTTAAAGTCAAAATTATAATCTTTCTTCTTTATGGGATTCCTTGATTTTCTGATAAAAGACAAGATCATGAAAGCTAATTATATCAAATCATCCCAGAAGATAGAAGATGGTAACATGGAAAAATTAAAAGAGATAAAATAAAGAAAGAGTCACAAAAAGAGAACTTAGCCTTTGATTTTCCTAATTCCATGAGAGGTAAATCTCAACATGATAGCTCTTGTTACATTTTTGTTCATTTTCTAGCTGATAATTTAGGTATGTGTTTGATGGTAAGTTACTCATTTTCAGTTAGTTTTCTCTTTATCTCACTTTATAATGTGTATGTGTTTTATTATGCATGTTTAATTCCATGCTATTGCTTATTTTCAGTTTTTGCATATTGATTAAAATTTATTTATTTACTAATTTTTAAATTTACAAGTGTGAGATATCAGTTTGATAAAATATTTCAAGGTGACAACAAAAATTTTTAACAATTTGAGATTAGTATTGGTAATGAGAGGTATTTTCACTTATATAATATTGTAAATATAATATCATGTTTCACTTTGAATTTATATAATGTGATTACGTGTATTTATAAATTTATGTGTTAATCTATGGTGGAGTTTTCTATTAAAATTTCTATTTTTCCAACTCTTTTTGTTTGCTTGCATATGAACTTTAAAGGCTTGAGAAAGAAGGTGCACATGAACTTGGCGAAGAACAAGTTAAAGGTAAACTAAAAATAAGATTTTTATGATTGGATTTGAATTAATAAAGTTGGTTTATATCAAAACAATGCATGTGTTTTTTCTTTTTTTTTTTCTTTTTAAAATTTGCTTATAAAGGTTGAGGTAGAGTTGCTTTATTCATTTAAATTTTTTTATCAAATTCTTATCATAAATTAAAAAATGAAAATAGAGTTATTTTTTGTTTTTATTTTTCAAGAAAATGAAAAATATAAATGAAAACGTATTTGATAATTGAAAATGAAAGTAAGTTTTAAAAAAAATAAATATTAATCAAAATATGAAAAAAAGATGTTTTCAATTGTGAAAATAAGAAATGTACATTATTTTTTTCCTTATGTTTTGCAAGTTACTATATTTAAATATTTTTTAGTATCATTAATTAATAAATATATGTTATATTTATAATTAATTGACATTAATAGTAATATTATTGAATTTTTTTTATTTTCTTATTTTTGATTTAAAAAATAATTTTTATTTTCATTTATCAAATACATTTTTTAAAAAACAAAAAATAAAAAATAAAAAAACATTTTCACAAACCGAACTATATCAAAATATCCTGAGGATGGATTTTCTGGTTATTATTATTATTATTGGTAACAGAAAAACTTGAAGCAGATCCGTTAGCTCCTTTTAGACGTTAAAGTGTTATTGGGCCCTTTAAATCCAAGACCCAACTAAACTCAAATCATCATGACGCAAGGTTAGAGTTTGGGTATGTCAGTTAAAAAGAATTCTGTAAATTCATGGGCCCAATCCAACAGAAATTGTAAAGCGAAATGGGGAAGAGGTTAGGGTTTGTTAAAATAAAAATCGATAAATTGATGGACCCAATCCAAAATTAAAAGGCGAAATGGGGAAGGGCAAACACTTAGGCTTTTTCTACTTCTCTGCGATGCTTTCTACGATCCCTTTCAAAATTTTCCCGTTCGATTCACCGGAACTTGAAGAAATCTTCAACATTAGATTACAGTAATTGAATCTTGTATTTACGTTTCTCTTCTATTTTCTTTTCCAGTTGTAATAATTTCAATTTCTTACTTTTAAATATATACAATTTCTATGTGCTAAGGTTTGATGTTCCGATAACGGTTCTGATGACAGCGACAGCTTTTGTCTGTCTGCCTCTCTCTCAGGTACGTGCGTGCGGCATTTGCCACTCTTTGGCCTCCAATCACCTTGGTCTTAGCTGAACCAAATCTCATTCCTTGCCATCCCTGGTGCTTCCACCGTCGTCGTTTTCAGCCATGTCGAGGTTAATTTCCTTCTAGAACTTTATCTTTTAGTAATTTTTTTAAAAAAATTATTATAATTTTTCCTTTTTCAAATTTCGTATTCTTTGTTGTTGTTTCATTATGTTGATCGAAATAGAAAAGTACAGCTGAAATAAGAAAATTATGCTAAGTACTCGCAATAGGCTTTTCTTATTGTGAAAGTTAAATTTAATTTACCTTTCGTTTTCTTTGCAACCAAACGGAAAATCTCATTCTTGATTCTTGCCATAGTATTATGAATTTATGATTGAATGTTTTTTCAGTTCATCTTCGATAATGTAATTAATAGTGTAAAAATATAAAATAAAAAGCCTTTTTTTTTTCTTTTAAATGTGTTATAGATAGTGTTAATTTTATTGTTTCTTTTTTGTTATTCTTTTCTATTATCCTTTCGGTTTGTTAGATTAAGGCAATGTGAAATGGAAAAATGTTTGACATTATGCAGATTTTTTGGCTATGGAAATGCTAGGAGGGTTGCGCAATTCCTTCATTCGAACTTGAAGAGTAGCTTCCAGGTAGCAAATAATATTGTGGTGCGTACAAAAGTTGAGTTCCCTTACTTCCTGTATAGGTTATGTTCACAGTATAAACATTCATTAAGAGAAGATACTCCTTTTCCATTTTACAAAGTAAAGGAAAGATTATCAAAGAGTTATCCACCTCGGAGCTTCCATACCCTTTCTTCTAGCTATGTGGTTTCAGAAAATGCACAAGTTACTTGGAAGAGGCTTTTTCAAGTATTGTACTATGATGGTCCAGCTTTGACACCAATAACTAGAATTGCCCGTGCAGTGAGTCTGGCTTTAAGTAGGTCGAACCTGGTAGTTCCTGGTTTTATGGCGTTCATGATCAGAGAGCTAGCCCGGACCCAACAGAAATGGGCAGAAGCAGGAGACTTTTCTGCAAAGGATACACTTTATATGCAAGCACAAGATGGACATATTTATTTAGCATCTTTTATATTATTCTTTTTGGAGTTTATAATTTTGTTATTAAGAGCAACCTATTTAGCGATTTTGTTTTTACCCAGCATAGCAATGGCTCCCTTTGTGGATTCTCTGGGTGTTGAATTCAGAAAAATGTGGCTTCATGTTGTCCACCATACGCTGGAAAAAGCAGGCCCAGCATTTATAAAATGGGGTCAATGGGCTGCGGCTAGGCCAGATTTGTTTCCCAGAGATCTTTGTGATGTACTTGCTCAGCTTCACACAAAAGCTCCATCACATAGTTTCTCTTTCACAAAGAAATCTATTGAAAAAGCATTTGGTCGAAAGTTAACTGAAATCTTTGCAAATTTTGAAGAGGAACCTTTGGCATCTGGAAGTATTGCTCAAGTTCATAGAGCAACTTTGAAATATAGGTACCCTGGTCAACAAACCAAGCCCATTGTAGTTGCTGTAAAGGTTCGGCATCCAGGGGTTAGTGAAGCAATTAGAAGAGACTTTATGATAATTAATTTTGTAGCTAAAATTTCAAAGTTCATCCCTACATTGAAATGGTTGAGATTGGATGAAAGTCTACAACAATTTGCAGTTTACATGATGTCCCAAGTTGATCTTGCTAGAGAAGCTGCAAACCTAAGCCGTTTTATCTACAATTTCCGCAGATGGAAGGATGTCTCATTTCCAAAGCCGCTATACCCCTTAGTGCACCCTGCTGTTCTGGTAGAAACTTTTGAACATGGAGAAAGTGTTTTGCGCTATGTTGATGAGCTTGAAGGACATGAGCAGATTAAAAGTGCCCTTGCTCACATTGGGACGCATGCACTTTTAAAAATGCTTTTGGTATTGTTTCTCATACTCTCTTTTTCATTCTTTCAATTTTTTCATTTTTACTTTTCTTCTTATTGTGATGGTTATAAATGCTAAATTGCATTACATTAGATTGTTTGTATGGTTTCTTCTACCCTGTAGTCCTTTACTTGGTTTAAGATTTTGTATCTGAAAAGCGTATGCATAAGTCATGCTAAAATTTAAAGATTGGATTCAAACTTATGGGGTTTTTTTTCCCCTCTCCAGGTAGATAATTTTGTTCATGCAGACATGCATCCTGGAAATATTCTTGTCCGTGTAAAAGATAGGCGATCACATAAACACCTGTTTAGTTCAAGGCCTCATGTTATCTTACTTGATGTGGGCATGACAGCTGAACTTTCTAGGACAGATCGAATGAATTTACTGGAGTTTTTTAAGGCTGTTGTTCTTCGAGATGGTCGCAGTGCTGCTGAGTCCACACTTAGATTATCTAAACAGCAACATTGTCCTAATCCAAAGGCTTTCATAGAGGTAATGCATTTGCTAGAATGCTTTTTTCTGGTGGGTGTAACGTACTGATTTTTATACTACCATGAAAGTTTATTGGACTGTCAATTGAAGAGTTTATTTATCCAAGAATGCATAACATATTTCATGTTTTTCTGTATTTTGTTTTAAACTTTCATCCATGTTTCAAATTGAATTGGATTATCAGAAAAAGTTAGAAACCTCATAGCCTCACTGGCTATCTTTGCTATTTGCTCTTTCTTTGGAGCCTGTAGACCAAAAATTTGACTTTGGAGTGGACATACCTAATAATGAAGTTCTTTCTTCTAATAATGGAATACCTTTTCATGGACCATGCATTTTATCTCTATTTTTGATACTTATAACTTTGTTTAAGTTCCTTGGAGACTTACGATATGTAGTTGGACTGTAAAATGGAATTAGTTAGGGTAGTGTGCTTTAAGGATCTAAGCTTAAACTCGAGGCTTTTGCTCTCCCTTGTACCCAAAAGAAATGATCCAAGCTTAAGCTTTTTATTTTGTTGACAGGATGTTGAACAATCTTTCATTATTTGGGATTCCCCAGATGGTGAATTTGTCCATCCAGGCAAGTGCATACAGCAACTGCTTGAGCATGTTAGACGTCATAAAGTCAACATTGATGGAAATGTTTGTACAGTAATTATTACCACCTTGGTTCTTGAGGTAATGTAGTCTTTGCCTGCTACTTATCATTGTCTTCTCTCCCTGAGAAAGTTATTGAATTCCTTTTATTCAAGATGTTTAGTAGCCGGCATGAAAACTGTCAATGATCATGATGGTCGAGACTTTTTGAACAGTAAAATTTACATCAAGGAGAAACAAGATAGTGGAGAAATGGAAAATATAGTTAGTGTAAAATGAATATTTACCTGCTCTGATTACTAAACGTCTTGTTACATGTTGAACAATGTTATATAGTTCCATAAAACTATGAGACATAAATTATGGTTTTCCTAAGCTTTTTGTTTCCTTTTTCCATCTTTGTAGGGATGGCAGCGGAAGCTTGATCCTCAATTGGACGTGATGCGCTCGTTGCAGACAGTGCTATTTAAAGTTGACTGGGCTGAGTCTCTACTTTACACCATTGAAGGACTTGTGGCACCTTAAAGAGTCTGTCCATCTCCTTTATTTTACTGAAAGTTTTGATAGCAATACTAGAAAAGGGATACATTGACATCTTACAATCATGAGGAATAACTGTTCCTCCTTCATGCTTGATTTTAAACTTACTTGATTTTCACCTACTATTATTTCAGTTTAGATTTTGCTAACGAATACTCTGAATTTATAGGGAAATTGTTTCAGTTTTAGTGGCTGACCCTATCATTTTTCTTGTTAATCTGCTAATATAAAGTACCTCAAATGAGAAATAAATGAGAAATAAAAGGTTGATGCTATTTTTTTTTTTTCCTGGAATCATTCTCTAATGTTGATGTTTTCTTCATTCCCGCATTCAGCATGGAAGAAAAGGTAAAGTTTATTTTATATTTTCTCAAAAAAAGTTTATTTTCTTTATTTACAATAATTGTTTTAAAAGTGAAATTACAAGGGAAAAATAATATTTGCCATAATTCTGCTTGACATGCATTTCAAGAATTAATAAAAAAAAAAACGTGGCGCTAGATCTTTTTAAAAAATTTATCTTACTTTTAAAGACATGTATAATGTTAGCACAAAGTGTATACTAGACTATTTGAATCAATGATCTATGTATAATTTTAATACTAAATATCTAATATAATAATTATTGCATTTTTTTATATTTAAAAACAAGATTTTATTTTTTTAAAGTAAAAATTACGAAAAAAATAAAAAGTTAATTTAATATTACTGTTATAGTTGAAAAAAAAAAAGAATAAAGTGTTTTTAAAAAGTGTAAACGTTTGAATTGAACAAGTGCTTCTAAGAAGTATGGATAGAAAAATATGTCAAGGATTTAGTATTATTGTAAAAATGTAATATGAGTGTTTGAAATACCTAAAAAAATATTTACAAAATAATGAGATATCAAAAATATAAAATAATATAATAATTTTCTATTTTAAAAGTACTTTTTCATTGCAAAAACAACTCCTGAATAACTTTTTTATTTGAGTTGTAAAATTAAGCTTTTAAATTGAAAATTGAAAACTTTTAACATTAAAATTTAATCAAAAGTAATTTTAGAACTCAAACTACTTTCAACATCTAAAGGTTCATTTAAATATGGAGTGAAATTAATTTAGATAAAATTAAAAATAATGATGAAAGTAATATTAATTATTATAATGATAAGATTAAAATAAATAATGAGATATATTTTTTAATGTAAAAACAATAGTGTCGGTGTGTAAAAATAAAAAATGACCTTTAATGATTTTATTTTAAAAGGATATTGATACATTTTAATGCTATTTATAATATTTAAAATTTTGAAATTTTCATATAAATTTCAAAATATTAATACATATTATTTATTATATAATAATAATATTTTTTTATTATATTAAATCAACAATGTTATTTTAATATTTTTAAATAAAAAACTCAAAATGAAAAAAAATAGAATTAAAAAATGTCATAAATATTTTTGTCAATGAATATAACTTTAAAGACAAAAAAAAAATTTTATGGCAAAATTGAAAAAAAATCCGGTGGAATTGTAGTGGGAATATGACAGTGCAATTCCGTTAGTGGTGTTATCCAAACACCATCACGAAACGTTTTACCCCATAAGTATTCAAATCGGATTGAAAAGTTACTTCATAGCATCCAAATAATTTCTAATTAGAGGTGATGACTGTTAGATTTAAATTAAATTAAGTTAAATTTTTTAAAATATTATATAATATTATAAAAATTTAAAATTTAATTTGAATTCGAATTAAATTTTCATTTCATTAAAATCGAATCAAATTAAATTTTATTTTTTCAATTTGAGTTGATTTATTAATTTTTAATTTTTTTAATTTTTATATATTATTTTGATATAAAATTTTAATATATTTAAATAAATTTTGATAAAAATTATTACTTTTATTTTATAAAAATTATTATTTTTATTTTATAAAAATTTAAAATATATATATAAAATTAAATATATATATATATATAATTCGATTTGATTTAATTTTTTTTAATTTTTTATCTTCCGATCTAAAATTTAATCTAAATTTAATATATACATTTAATATTTAAATTTAATTCAAATTAAATAAAAAATTAATCCAAACCAAACTAAATATTATAATTTCAAAATAATTTTCATAATTTTTTGATTTTTTTGTCACCTCTATCCCCTATTCAGGTTGAACTAAAATGAGGTTGCGTCCACGTTTTAACTTGAACTGACGTTTCAACGCATTGACTGGTTTCACGAGAACCCGACAACAGACAACAAATTTTCGGCGTATTACTTGGAGCTTCCATTTGGATGCCACGTGTTTCCAGTTAAGTCTGTTTCTCACGTGCTAATATTGCAAAAGTTAGGCTGAAAATTTTAGGCTTTTTGACTATGTCAACACGTTTTAGTTAGCTATTCCTTTGTCAATTTCCAATTATTTTTGGCAAGCAATTCCAAATCTGTTAATTCTTTATTTATTTTCTGAGCATAGAAGTGTTGAAAGGAAAAAACATAGAGTTACTTATGAATCTAAATTTTAGTTTAATTAGTTTATATAATTATTTTTAAAAATTAATATTTAATAATTTTAAATTTTTATATTTACAATTACATTTTTTATTTTCAAATTACATAGAAAAATTTATTTTTTTACTTTGTTTCAACTTTGTTTTAAAAATAATTTTTTTTATATATAAAAGAGGTTACATAACGAAGATAAAATAAAAAATTGCAGGTGATAAATGCCAATTTAAACACTATAAGTTCAATTTTAAACTTGAGAATTTGTACTGATGAAATGATTTAGAATAGAAATTAAGCAATGCTAAATTCAACAAAAATCTTCTAAAAAATAATATATAAATTAAGATTCACGTAGATGTTACAAAATGCAATCCCCTAGTCAAAACCTAAACAATTAAAAAGACTTTAAATCTTACTTCTTTTTTTTTTCTCAAACATCAACTTTTTTCAAATATTACGCACATCCATTGACATTTAATCCATTAGGAACATCAAACATCAACGTGTTCCTGCAGTAACTATCCCTTTCAATATCTTCAGTATTGCGACCATTGTTGTTTACATATGTTGTCGACGATGAATTCAAGGGAGTTGAGCTAGAAGAAGGTGTTGATAGAAGTGATCCGAAGGGACTCATATTGATGATGTTTTCAGAAAAACATGCCTGGTTTTGATCAGCTAAAGAGTTGATAATGGATTGATTACTGTCATGGTAACCATAGTTTTGCATGGGGAAAAAACCCTTTGAGTTACTAACAATAATATTCTCTCTATCATATTCTTGCCACAAGTTTGGTGGAGTATTCAGGCTGGTAGGGTTTGTAGAAACATGGTTCAAATTGGCTTGTAAAAGTTGGGTGCAAGCTTGAATTGGATTCTGAACCTGGTTTCCCTGGTAGGATTCATATTGGTTTTGACATTGGAAATTCCCTGTCTGGTTTTGTTGAACATTTTCAGGAGTATTACTAATTTCCAGGTTCTTGTTTTGGGATGACAGGAGAGCTGTGGCTAGGTTCAGGAAGTTTGGGTTGAATATTGATCCAATTCCATGTAAACCTGAAGGATTAAGCTGGGAAGAATTGTAAAGAGATGAGCTCAGAAGTGAGGAGAGTTCAAGAAGATCTAGTCGAGGACTATGAGTTACAGGATCGATTCCCATTCTCAATAATTTCTTCTTGATGCGAGTGTTCCAATAGTTTTTGATCTCATTATCTGTTCTTCCAGGCAATCGAGCAGCAATAACAGACCACCTAAGTTTAGAGTGAAAAAGAAACAAAGAGTAAATCAGACAGTACTAAACAAACATGTTTGATTTTGCTTTTTCCTAGAAAGATTAAACCAAGTACATTATTTTTCATCATTCACTTGGCTCTATAATTAGTCCATAAGAAGCAGTTAGTTAAATTCATCATTCTTAATATAAAATATAAATAAATTCATCATTCTTAATATAAAATATAAAACACTTACTTGTTTCCTAAAACACTGTGTAATTGTATTATAGTTTCCTCTTCTTCAATTGAGAACTTCCCCCTCTTGATATCAGGCCTCAAGTAGTTTGTCCATCGAAGCCGGCAACTCTTTCCACACCTCTTTAGCCCTAATTCATTGCAGAAAAAACTATCAATCAAACTCTTAACCATACGCTAACAGTCTGATCTATCAGTAAAATATTACACTCTTAATTCCAATATCAAAGTTCGATTAACAACCTTAAACTCATAAATACTAAAAGAACCAAACTCGGGTTTTTGGTTCGATAATTTAAGTATTACGTTATAAGATAGGAGTACATAGGTTTCGAATTTGAACATTCATGAGATAGTACCTTAAAATTTAGAGTTTAAGAAGAAAAAAGAAAAGAAAATACCTGCATTTTTTGGAAGGGTACGCCATCTCCCATGGCCATGTTTTTGAATATAATCAATCAATTTTTGGTCTTCCTCTGCAGTCCATGGACCTTTTTTCAATCCATTTTTGTCACAACAAGGAGGATTCCCCATTTCCAAAACTATACTCTTAATTAAAGACAACCTTAAAATTTGCCTGTTTCTTGAGAAAAATAAGAAGAAACTGGATCGAGTTTGAAGTAAAAACTTTGGCAAAAAAGTCATCTTATGCATTAAGAAACAAACGTATATATAAATAGAGGAGAAAAGAAGCAAAAGCCAAAATGAAAATAAAAAAAAAAAAAATTTGGGAGAAGTCAATGGAATTTGGTACCGCCCAATTGAAACGTGTCTTCTGATGAAGAAAAAAAATTGAACAAGAAAACATTAAAACAGTCGTCCTCATATCACTTAGTTTTTTACAGTGTAACAGACTTTAAATTTAGCCAATATATATATATATATATATATATATATATATATTAACAAAGTAAAGATTATTTTAAAAAATTTGTTTTTCCACGTGGCAAATATCCAATGGTGGGAAATATAGATATTTACCCAAAATTTTCAAGATTTACATGATCAACAAATAAATTGTAAAATAATATTTTTTAATTTAAAATTTATTTTAATTGATTCGTGAATTACTTTTAAGAATTTTGAATTTAAAACTTAATATTTATAATTTTTCATTTTTAAATTATGATTTTTTTATAAAAAAATAAAACTTTGTCTCTTCTAAATTTGGTTAAGAGCTCTGTTCTTGCCTCAAATCGTAGGACATGCTGATTTATATGTGTTAAAAATAAATAAATAAATAAAATTTCCCTCCAATTATCCATTCTTCTTTTGCGGTTAGTCAAGGATTACAGCTGTCTCCAATATTTTCCTGCCACGTAACAGGAAGGAGCATGGATCAACAGAGACCCCTCACCACTCGGTCATCTCCTAGCTATAAAGTCCAGTTGCGGTTTATTCACTCAAGTCGGCTAGCTCATCTTTCTCCGCAATTTTTTTTTTTTCATTTTTAATAGATGTATTTTTTTACTTTATTTTATTTTTTATACTTAAAATTATAAAAAATTAAATTTTAATATTAAAATAAAAAATTCAATATTTTATCAATTAGCATATATATTTGCTTTTAAAATATTAGTAAATTCATTTTTTCTTATGGTTTAAATATGAGTTTAATATCATAATAAAGAAAAAACATTTTTTGAAAAAATTTATCTATAAGTAAAATTATTTATCAATACTTTTAAGAATAATTTTACTTATAAATAATATTATATTATAATATATTAATAAATAATATTATATTAATAAAAAACCTAATAATAAATATTATTAATTTAATTAATAAATATTATAATAATATATTAATAGATAACATACTATTAATATAATATATTAATAAATAATATAAAGAATAATAAATAGTTTTATTTTAAGTATTTCAATGTATTTTAATAATAAATAATTTTTAATATTTTAATAGTTACATTAATATTATTTGAAAAAATAAATTTTTTAAAAGACGACCAAACAATGAAAAATATTTTTATTAATTTATCCAAATAATAAAAAATTTCTTTTAATTTAAAAAATATAAATATTTTTCAAAAATTATTTTTTAAAAATCAATTTTTACAAAACAAACGGAGCCTTAATGTTATTTTTCAAAACATGAGAGCATTCTTTTTTTTTCATCCATTTCCTTGATATTGATTAGCTAGATATATTCATTTGTCTAGCTAGTTGTATAGAGCAAAGAAAATCAAGAAAGCTACAAAGTGTGGAGTTTCCTACATTACATATTCGAATTCACTTGTTCAAGTCGTTCATATTGCCAAACAAAATCTTGTCATATTACGATTGAAAAGGAAATGTAGATTCTCTGTATGACCAGTCTTCATCTCTTATCAATAGCTTGAAATTAAGGTATTAAAAAAATTGCCATGACTAGGGCAGAGTTTTATACGTAACTTTTGTCGGAACATTTAAAAAATTAAGATTAGATTTTGATCTGAATTCAAAGATTAAACCCTAATTTTCTTTTAAGAAAAAAAAAAAACAAAAGTTGAGTCAAGTTTTAATTGTTTAGGAAAGTCAGCCTTATCTCTCTCAAAAGAAGTGTATTACACAAAGTTTCATCTTCCAACTTTGCCAGTAGGAAATGAGGAAGCTGTCAAGCTGATAACTTTTGCTGGTGCATGCAGCCTAACTTCAAAACGGAGCATTTCCTTGTAATTTTTTCTTCAAAATTACACCATTATTCTCTTATTAATTTTCCTTTTATCACTACAATTTTCGAGATGAGAGAGACTTAATCAAATAAGATTATACATAAAGCCGTGTATGAATTAGGGTTTAACTTAATTGATTTATCGGCCCTTTTTTATAATAAAAAAATAATGTCAAATCTATTCATTATTTGAAAAGAGAATAAATCAGTTTGGGAAATAAAAGATTGAATTCAAAGTGAAACTTTGATTCATACTATATATAATTTCATGAACAATGGTTTAAAACAGTATTCAAAAGCTTTTTATAGAACACTGCTTCATTGATGGGACAGATTTTGACCAAAATTTGGTCTATTCCTATAGGTTGGCACTCTCATTTTTTATTTAAAGTGATCAAATCTCAAATGCCATTCACAAATTTGATTGGCAAAAACATTCAATTCAAGGAAAAAGAAAATCTGCTTGAATTGACTGATTAATAACATGAACAGATCGATTCTTTCTGTTATTTGACCATTCTTCTTTCAATGTACAATGTTTCTGCTTCTACTTTATGTCGCAAAAATTAAAACAAAGTGCATGAACTCCCACCAGAAAAAGCTAGTGTGCTACTTTCCAACAAAGAGCTATTTAATTTGATTAATTTCTAAAAGGGTTAGTTCACATTAAACTTTTTGAAGAAAATAAATGTATTTTGAGAAACATGAATCTTCATTTGAGATTAAAGTCAAATTTACTACTATTATATTGTGACTCAATATTAAAATTTGTAATTATATTGCAATTTTATTAAATTTTTTGTTGCTATACTTTCAATTTTTTTTATTTTTAGGGGAAAAAAAAAACAAAATTAGAACATTTCGTTCAGCAAGTGATAATTTTACGTTAATTTTATTACTTTTTGTTTAAAAATTAATAAAATTAAAAGTATAGTAATAAAATCAAATAAAATTTAAGTACAATAACAAAATTCGTTGTTTGACTCATAGCATAGTAGCAAATTTGACTTTGATGGCTCTCCATTTTAGTTCCTTAATAAAAAAAAAAGTGTATTATTTATGACCTTAGTGTATTAATTTGACATGATACTATAGTATACTATATCTTTGCAAGAAATTCAACAGAAGAAATGTGAACTGCAGCTGTTTGTTTCATACTCTAAATGCCCAGGGAAACAACTAGCCATGATGTCCATGTTACATGGCTTGAAATTGTTCTTATTGTTAGGTCTCATCAGATTATTTCTTAGCAATGAATGAGCTGTGTAGAATAATTTGCCACTGTGTGAAACTGTTCTTGTCAAACAAAGTTTGGGGCAAAGTTTGAAATTATGTCTTGAGAATTTAAAGTAACTTTGGGTCATAGTTTCATAGAAAGATAGCCACCATGGCCGTCATATGACTCTTGCCTTTGCCTCCTTAATTTTTTTTTTTCAAACAGTGAAAATGATCCAAGTTCAGAACCCCCATTTCTCCCAAATTAAAATTTAATTATCTTATTCGGCACGATACATGATAAGGAAGGATTATTCAAAAATTGCCAACTATACAATAAGAATAACCTTTCTCTTTTATCTTAATTTCAACCTGAATATTTAAATTCAAAATCTAAGTATATACTTTTTACATGAATTATATGTCATACACTTTAACCATCGAATTAAATCTCATAATTTCACTTATAAAAAATTATATATATTTGTACTTAGATATTTGATTTAATTGCAAGTGCAGAATGTTAGGTCAAATAATTTTAATCCAATCACATTAACGAAAATGAAATTAATTAATTAATCACACAAAAGAAAACAATTCAATATGATTTGGTCTAATCGATCTACGTCTATGAATGAAAAAAAAGATTCACTAGTTATAGAGAATTACAAATATATAATCATATTAAGCACTCATAATTAATACCCGCAAATATTTTCAATCTCCTCTAGTCTTATAGAATATTGTTAATTCAAACAAACACCCATAAACTCATACACTATACCTATGTGGACCCTTTTAATATTCAGTAATCCTCTCACAAATATTCAAATATACACACCCTCTTGTAGTTCACTCACAAACATTCAAATATACACACTTATAATACATAAATTTTCAATAGTCTTACGGGAGTTTATCCCATAAAACCCTATAATTCTCTTATATTTTTTTCATACATAACCCAATAGAAATTTTACTTATTTATAAGCATGTTAATTTACCTATAAAGAATCATTTTCTTTTTAGAATTTTTTTTTCATAAATCTTTTTATCCATCAAGTAATATTTAGGTAATTCCAAATAAATTTCTTATGGGATTTGTTTCATTATTCTTAACACAGAGCATATAGTGCCATATATTCTTTCGTTCAAGAACTTGATTTAAATCCTCTTCTTCTCAAATCAAAATAGAAAAGGATTAAACGAAAACGAGTATGCAGTCTTTCTTTCTTTCATTTTTTTTTAAATTTAAGCTTATCACATATACCTCGAATGGCTACTTCGTCTTCTTAGTTCCTAGCCTCTGTACATTCATAAACAGCTAGATTTCATTTATAATTTGGTGGCATCAAATGGAAAGGGACTGATAACAAGTTATCAAAGGGAATAATAGATATATATATATATATATAGTAACTTTTGAGAATTGAATGCTCATTGAATTATTGTGAATTTGACTTACTTTTTAAGCTTCAAACAAAAGGGTTTTCAGGTAAAAAATGAAGTGATAGAAGTGAAATCAAGAAAAGGAAGTGAGAAAGGCAATTCCCCTTTGTTTTTCTTCTTGAAATTTGAAGGTGGGGGGGGGGGGTGACAAATGACAAGAATTGAGAACTACAAAGATGTATGGCTTGAGCAAGATATAGATAAAGCCATGGCTCGAGCAAGTATTTGGCTAATGAATGGGCTCTTCTTGGCTTTACAACTTGGTAACAAATTAAGTAACGTGTGGACATT